TGGCATGCCAAGTAGTTTTATTTGAAATCAAAGGAGGTGATTTTCAACATATATATTTGCCAATAATAAAAAATACAGCGAGAAGCGAACACTAATAAGGGGATGAAAATGAAAATGAAGACGGTAGACGGTACTTGTTGATGAAGAGTAGGCTTACCTTCTACACTTTTTATACTTCGAGTTCATTTGTAAATCGGTAGAATATGGCAAAAATTTCGAAACAGGACCCTGCAGGCCTGATAAATTAAACACAGAAAAGGCCAAGTGAAGAAAATTGCCGCGGTTTATTGCCCCCCTCCCCCCTCTCTCTCTAGGGTATTCCCAAAGCGCCCACATAGCTTGACTTATGCATAGAAACCTTTATTAATGGTTGCCTCCTTCCACTGACGGGCACCAGCAAACTGCTGACTAATAGCTTGTCTCTATATAAATTTCTTTTAAGGGTCAAATTCTTGTACAAATGTCCTCAAGAAACAGACACCTCATCCATCAGTCCACTTTACATTAGTGCAATTATGAACCTTTGCAAATAGTTAAGAATATGCGTGAGTATGTGGAATTGAAGCTGTTTTCGTTCGACACTCCTTACAGCAGAAAGGTTGTATAATGACAAAAGATAAGCGGAAATTCATACCCTCATGCAAAACAAAAAGCATGGAAGGGAGAAATGGTGTGTTTGATTTGTTCCTTGATTTGTTTTTCGCAAATGGGCAGTAACATTGCCTCCATATATTTCTTTTCAGTAACAATGTAAGATATTGGAGTGTGCTAAACAACTGCATAGCTGCGAATATCACACTTGTAACCATCCAATAAATGCTTCTATAACACAATATGATCGTCGAATTGTGATTCAATTTGATCGTCGAAAATGTTCAATTTTCAAAATTCTTGCACGTTTGAATCATTCGACTATCGAATATCAAACTTTTTGAGAAATTTTTTAATAGAAACCAAAATTGTATAAGTACTAAGTAGCAAATTTGGTCGCAAATGAAATATTATTTTCCTGTCCTGATTAAGAAGGGTTTTGATTAAGAAACTTAAATCATTCTTAAGAGATAATTTTTGCAATAATTTTTTTCTGCCATTTTCATTTTTTAGTGAAAAAAACCTTTGGCAAAAAATTTCTTGGCCTGTTTCCAAGTACAAATTATTGCAGACATTACGTCCCAACTTCTTAAACGGCTCTTACAGAAATCTCAAGTTTCCTTGATTTGATAATGAAAAAACTATATCTTAAATATTGCAGAAGTAACTCCCTAGATCCCGAAGCAAAAACATAGCCATACAAAACTATATCCGACATGCGTAAATTTTCTATGAAGAGTATTCAACTTTCTAGAGAAATAAGAGCCTGTTGCTAACTAGAATACATAAGTATACGAGATAATGAGAAAATCAGAAATTATCATACCTTTCCTTGATAAAATCTTTTGAAAAAATACCGCATCGACATTTTTGAACGCTGCCTATACATCTCTCACAAAGTCTATGGGACACCAAACAAGGCGAATCAGCTATCCAAGACAACAAACATCATAACACCTAAAGCTTACATCAAAAGTCCAAATTCTGGTACCTAACATCGAACAACAAAATAGCTTTACTGCTTAACCAACGCAATGTCTTGAGGAGATGGACGATTTCACGTGTACTATGTCATATAATGCACATGGGATTATCGCAAAACATTCGGAGCTTAAATGGAAGCAATTATAAATTGGATTGGTGAAGCTTAATATTGGGATTTACTTAACAAAGTTAACTGATGAAGAACGGAACAACCCCTTCGGGATAAAGGAAATTAGATTCTGGTAGACGCTGTGACATTTCGTGTTGCCTTTCGATCAGAAACAGAAAATAGTCATTTCACTCGTATTAAGTCATCCTTATTTTAAAACTGTGGAGCTAAGTTTCGCAAGTTTCTGGTTATTTTGTAAGATAAAAATACTAAGTATAACAGTTTTTGTGAAAAATTCTTTGTGCAATTATTGTAATATGCATAAAATACTAATTATGGATAGTAAATTATCCACACATTTAAGAAATACATTTTCTAAAAATATTCAGACTCGAAATCGTAGCAATTTAATTAAGAAAATTGAATTTCAGCGACAGTTTGACTTTCTATCTATCTAAGAATTTGGTTAAACAGGACAAGCGCGAATTTCACATAAAAAGTTCGAGGTACACTCGTCAAGCTAGGATGCTTCGACAGTAACAAAAATTTCAACTATCGTTCTCAATCCATTTTTACATTTTGTTCCGCTTAGGAAATAATTAAAGAAAATAACTCTGGGCCGAAAATAAAAACATTTAAGGACATCGAGAACTAGCGAAAATCTAGGTATCTTAATAAAAAAATGTCTGTATGCTTTATTTTGGTAGCAAGAATTATATGTCTGCTATTTGTTTTAGGTTTGAGAGACATATTTTTCTATTCATGTCGCCCATTCAACCCAGTGGGGAAAAGAAAGAGAATAACAGAAAAGGTTGGTGTCAATCCTTAATGAACTTTTCAATCTCTGGCATCACCAATGGAAGCAAGAAAGCTTCTGGTTAGTTCTTCAGTTACGACAGCAAAACATTTACAGAAAAGCATGCAAGCGCGATGTCTGTATCGAGCACCGCGGTGGTCGTAATTACGCCACAGCTTCGTATCGCCACTTTCGATACCAAATTAGCGTGACAACTTTGCTGCAAACAATGCAATGCAAAAATGGATAGATCGGCATGCTTGAAGCAGTACTCTAATCGAAGGCCCTGTGGTAGTTGGCCAATTAAGATTCATATACAACTATGAATAACAGTTCACGAATACTATATACAATATGATAGATCCATATTCATAAACCTCGTTTTCTAATCACTCAAATGTGAGGCTCGTGATCAATTATTGTTGAATTCAAACTTGTGATGATTTCTAGTGTTTTGCGACGTTTGATGTCAATGAAGATGAAACAAGTAAATGAACGACAAAAGAGTTTAAGAAGATAAATGGACGATGAACAGTGGTCAATATTAGACCATTGATGTGGTTTTTTCTCCGACCAGTATTAGAATAATTGCTGGTATTGTGTGTTTTTTTGTGTAAAATTTAGGAATATTCCACAATAAATTGAGTTAAAAAAGAATTGAAAGCAATTGCCGCTTCTTGACTATGACTGCCTCGATTGAGTTCAAATCATGAACATAGACAATAAATTTGCGAGGCTGATTATTTGATAACTAAAAATTAAAAAGGATGCGATTTCTTATGGCAAATAGCAAATTGCCCGCAATAGCAATTCAGTTCAGTCCAGTTCAACAGCATCAACACAGACATCTGTTTAAGAGCTGATTTTTTTCAAAATTGGCTGTCTATTTGTTAACTGTGCTTTGCTGTACTGTATAAAGTGACACAAAGCCATAGAAATCGCTACGATCCGAAATCAAGTGATCCATATGTATTCCTCATTCTTTCAACACCAGAATTACTAGGTACAATTCTGACATTATCAAGGCTCCAAATTAAGATCAAAAAATAAAGGAGAGATAAAAATTGCAAGAAGGCTGCATACCCCAGTAATTTATAAAAATGTAGATGCATCATTATTGTTACCTTGTGCTAAATTTAGGAAGCCAATTTCCTCGGTTGTTTCTCGGAGCTGAGACCGAACCACATTTCTGAAATCAACATGTGGCATTTGGCTAGAGTGCACTGTCCTTGAGCCATGCGACACCACAGGTCGGCAACCTATTCCCAAATTTAATAACGATTTAATTTGATCCGCGCTGCGAAACATTTGAACTAAGTCAGCCAACGGTACATACGCTCGCCGCTAAATGAATACGCGATTAACGACAAAGCTATTGATCTGATATCGGGTGCAAAAGCATAAATATGGCATATATATGATGACCCAGTTACGGGCACGGATAGCATTAACTAAAGCGGCTGAAATCAACGCTTACATTATTCCTAATAATATATGCTGTCTTGGCGCAGTTGCTACTCTTCAATTTTTCATGACTGTTCGTCTTTTAGAACGATATAAAGCAGCTTAACATTCGAAACGGAAAGTCCTTTGGGTATTCTTCCGGCGTCCTTTGATGTACAGAACGTTGAATTCGATTTTCCGACAAGAATTTAAACATAGCAAACAACGGTGACTATTTCAAAACTGATGATTTTTTAATGAACACTCTTAATGACCTTGGATTTCTTATCCGTTTCTCTAGAGAGAATTCAACAACAAACAGAGGCGGTCCGGTCAATTTTACTTTTTCCAAAATCTGTCGTGGAAAAAGTTGCTGCTTTGCAAACAGCTTCAGTACGAGTTCTAAGGCGTTCATCCTCGCTGACTGATCGCATGTCTTATCGTAAATTTAAATCTTATGAAGCTTAGTGTAGAGCACCTGCCTTCCTGCAGTCATTGCGAACCGTTTTGACGAAGAACTTACCTTATCAACAGCAAAACGGTCATTGAACGTCGTTCAAGGCTCGAAATCTGTAGGTTAGTTCTATGGACAGATTTTGAGCTGGAAAAGCGTAGTGGGAGACAATTTTATCGCTTCTTGGATAAGAAATTCGCGGCATAGGTCCAGGAAGCGAACATGTGAAGCTTATCAAATCATCAAACCTCTACGTCTTAAAGTTGTTTGAAGAAAAAGATTTATACTCTTAAAATGAACAATCACGATCTTGATTTTCCAAGACCAATTCTGAAGCAGGTACTGATCCCAAAGAGCAGCTAGATCAAGTACCGTAACAGCAGCTTGATCTTCACCAGAACCAAGGCTTTAAAATGATATAAAAATGCACTGATAATTCCTCAGGTTTCTTGGGTAAAATAATAACTTTTAATATGGCAGCAGTTGGTGGCGTTTTCCTCACAGTTAAAGCAAACTAGATTGTCTTGAAACGGAAAGTTGAGACAAAACAATTCATTTTAGATAAGCTTTCAGAATGATTTGCTAATTTAACAAAGCATGCAGGCATGAAAACAAATACATACGATTGTTCAGTTTCTTTTCTTCTTCGATATTCCATTACTTAACTAACAACGTCTCCTGCTACCTATCCAACCTATATCTCCGAATTAACCCTCTCTTCTTCTCTCGCTCGTTCCAGTCCCTCATAAATCGCATCCTCACACAAGGAACAAATGAATGAATAGCTAACAGATATCAACCGAATCTTTTAGAGGCAAAAGAACTTAGGAATTTGGTACAATTTGGTACTTTCTCCCGACGGCTGACCCAAGGGAGCAGTTGCTAAGAATATTTGCTCCAGTGTCAACTATTTTAAGCATAAAGTTAAAGACTTGCTAATAAGCTCTTACGGTTTAAAAGTCAGATTGCACATTTCATTGCAAGTTGGAAACTAAAAGGGAATTTTGTTTTTCTCGGATGAAGTAAGGCGATGTCAAAATCTGGTGTCACCTTCCTCCAATTGGTTTATGATCAGCTTTACCGCCTAATGTTCCGATTAAATCTCTTTCTCCAAAGGTTCCGACGTTTTCTCCCAAAACCCAGATACAAGGTCATTTGTATCTTTGCAGACAATTTTTTACGAACTTTCAACTTGGAAAGTGTTGGCTCAGCATACATAAGTGGTCTCAACTCAAGTACTTCAATGTCACGTCCTCATCTTGATTTGTAAAAAATCAAGCTTTTCAACAAAGGCTTGAATGGAATCTTTTACAGCAGAATCCTCAATTTGGATCCCCTCAAAAGAGATAGCTTAATGCAATCAACGAGACCACAACAATGAAGCAAAAGAAACACTTGGAACTGAAAAATTGCAATTCGAAAGCTTTTATGTAGATGATTACGGCGCAATGATTATGTGCTTGCTAAAAAATTTTGCAAAATAAAATGTTTAAAAATTGTTAAACAAAAACGTTTCAATGAAAATACCTAGTGATTAGGGAATGTCTGACTACAAATAAGTAACGACATTACGGTTTTATTCCGTTTTAATTTGAGTCGCATTAGGCCCCGTTTACACGGGAACGGATCCGCATAGATCCGTGCCCAAACTAGCTACGATAGGCCTTGCGTTTACACGGGCACGGTAGGATCCGTATCTTTTCTGGGAGAGATCCGTACCTTTTTGGATACGATTCGAAAGCGAATCCATTTGGATCCGTACCTTCATCGGCGCCGTGTAAACAGGAAGATACGGATCCGCAAAGGCACGGCAGTAAAACGAGACTGTTGCTGGGGTCAGTGGAGGCCATTTCAATTGTACGCAGCACTCATCATACAACAAAGAAATTACTCTCCCACCCCCGCTCTTTCTTCCACAGTCGAAAGCCTTTCTGAACCCTGTCTTCATCATGGTTTAATTTTTTTCACCTTTTCTTTTGTTATTTTTTTTATCCTGGGTATTTGGAAAGTTCTCTGTTGCTATTTCTAGATAGGCCTCGATAAATTGAAGGAGAATGTCTTCGTATTTCGACCTAACAGTCTCTAAGTTTGTTTCATTTTGCATTTTACATTTTGCATTTCCGGGTTTTTAAAACGAGGAGTTGTTAAAATGCTAAAATTTGGCCTTCTGAGGTTGATTCTCGCAACGTGATTGGTGTATTGCCTGGAGGATTCCCAAGAAGGGGACCTCGCCAACAACCAATCAAGATTTGTCCGCTATGCTACACCATGGATAAAGTAGAGTACCACCCGGGGAATCTCCATCATGAGTATAATAGAATATCACCCCCACCCCCCTCCAACACTAAAACCCTCACTTACTCTCCTTCCCAAGAACAGCAAAAGTTGGGACTTCAGGCTTAAGTTACATTTTCAGGTAATCAACGCTGCTAAATCTTGGAAAGGGTCATCCGCCTATTTGTAAGAAGCATCGACTGATTTATCAACAGCTAGCACCATCTGCATTATAAAAATAGCACCTGGCTTTGCTACGTAGAGTTCTTAAGTGATGACGTCATGAAAATCTGTTTTAGGACATTCAATCTGTTATCAGACGTGAAATCTTTAAATGGTCATATTTAACCCACTTTTTGCACGCTCAACTGATTTTGCACTTTTAGAGGTATTATGTTCAGAGGTTATTCATGGTGCTTTTTCAGGTAATAAAGTCAAAAGCCAAAAAATAAGCAAAATTATTTACATGACGTCACATTTTGTCATTAGTGCAAGACAAATAGAAATTAATGTCAATACGGTGCTGAATACTTAATTCAGCCTCAATCTCTATTCTGTAGAGTATCAACTATAACTTTAACTGGGGTGGAAGTTTAGCGGCCTGAACACTTGTGCCAAAGTTATAAACCGTATTGTGGACAAAACATATTAGTATTCAGAAGTTTAAACGGTTACCCCCAGCTGGTGTATTCCATGAATAAGATATAGCTTGGTGGCGTCATAAGGCTGATTCCTTTTGCTCAATAATCCAAAAGCTCAATTACACAAACAGGTGCTTGATAATGATCAATTAAACCATTCATTTACTCAAGGCGCCTTCATTTCAGATAAAAGAGAGATTATGTTTCAAAATGTGCAGACTATGTATAAGCTCTTAAGTCTCGTCGGGCATCAAGGGCTGCGTAAAGTTCCGAATATTAAGATTCTCGGCAATGGTAGAAGAGGTTTAATGCCATACAGGGCATCGTTGAATATGACGCCGTTTAATATGATGTATTTAATATGATGCCGAAAATCTAAAGGGTAACTAAAAAAAGAAAGAACTATAGAAATTATATTGAACGTTGAAATATTCCTTTGCACGATAAAAAAAATTTTCCTGTTTCCTTTTTAGAAGGAATATCTGGTTCCTTCTTATATTTCGATAAGAACCTTGGGCAACATTGCAATATGAAGCACAGTATGCACTAAAAGAAAATGTTTTACGATGGCACGAAATAGGGGCAACTTAACATACTGAAGTACTTTGCGCCTGACACTTTTCAGAGTATAAACGTCGGATAACGACCGGCATCAGTTGCTTTATGGAAAATAAACATTTCCGAGTACGGGATATGCAAGTCTTCAGCAGGACGGAAAAGTTTTTGCACAAACCTCTGTTTTCAAATGAAGACGTCACATAAAATCTCTCTACAGAATTTATGACTTTAGATCAATAGCCCAAAGCACCAAAAAACTTCTAAGAAAATGTTCATATGATGTGAGGTATCCCAATCCTGTTCTGCTTCAGCTGGATAATTAAAGACATTGCTCATAAGAAGCATAATCGCTCATATGGTCAGATTTCGGATTTCGTCCTACTTGAATGAGCTAGCCTCAAATCCAAACACAGGAAGGTCTTGACTTACTAGCTTGCGCAAGCACAGTGTTTATATTCTCATCCCCACATTAAGCTACAGGCCGAGGATGGTTCAGTTGTTAGAGGCGCTGACTACAGACCCAAGGTCCGTGGTTAGAGTCCCTTACATGACCAAACTTTTTCATCCTGAGTGAGAATAGTTGCCAGCTCTCTGTAATTCCAGGCATAGGAATCACGAGGAGTGACCACATCGAGAGGAAGGACCAGGACACTGCTTGATAAGCATAAGCTTCCCAGTGTCCTAAAAACTATCTTCGGATGCTAGGTAGATACAAATATAATACAATATGTACAGGCCTGATGACACAATGAATCGGGTTTGTGTGAGAAATTTCTGTCCAACCTGAGTTGGATCCCAGCGGCTCGACAGTAGGGTGGCGCTTTGGTGGGCAAGTCCACTCGTCATACAAACACAGCCGGAGTTTCACATACAAATCACTTTATTGGCTGGATCTCGCCCGAGTAGGCTATCCGACCTTAGGATATCTTTTTTAATATGAAAATTAGTTGGTATGTGGCATATGAAAGAACTGAAAAGAGTACCAAAGTGTGATGTTCTTAAAAAATTCCAATTTTGAACCTGAAGAAAATCAAACAATCTTTAACATGATCTGGGAGAAACAACATTAAATAGATATAAAAGCGCATAATCGGCTCAATGTGTTAATGGGTGTTTTATGGCCAATGAAATAATTGAAATTTGCTAAAGGGCTACTGTTATTTTGGCTTGGAATCTGTGTTGGGAGAGCCTATACTAATGCCGGGATATATCAGACACATTTTCAACACATTCAGCTGATTTCAAAGGTACTTTAAGGTGTTCTTTCACGTTTTTGGTCCACAATTTAAAGTAAATTTTGTATGGTATGGTGGACGAGACTGTAAATATATTTGCCATTTTTGGCCAATTTGTGACTGATTCAGCTAATTTGCCACTTTTACAGTATTTATTTTGCTTTTCAGATGTTTTTCATTTTTGCAAATTCAAAAGTTCTAAAAGTATTTCGTTTCGACACATTTGACTTCTTTTGAAATTTGAATTTATCTTTAATTTCTTTTATAGAAGAACACCAAGCAAACTGCATACTTCCCAACGATAGGGGACCTTGCAGCATGCATGGACGACTAAACGTCATGTTTGGAATGCTCTTTTGGACGAAAACAAGATAGATGTCGATGAAATTTAGTATCTTTTCACCATAACAATCGAGTTCACAAACATGCAGCAATCTTTTGAACCTGATTTCAAGCTACAGGTTATCGTCTTTTCATCTAGCAGTTTTGGAATCAATCTACATACAAACAAAAATGCCGCTATTGTGTAGACAGAAGAAGTTCGTTTTTTCTCTTGGACTCCAGTGTGATCACAAATGATAATTACCAATAATAATAATAATAATAATAATAACATGATATATTTAAAGTGGGTAGCCTATAATAATTTATCTACAAAAAGAAAAATTCTTTACAACAGGGCCCACTGTCAAAGTAACGTAAAAATTAAAATCAAAAGCTAAAAGGAAAAAAGTACATCAAAGCATTAAAATCCTTAATATATCTGTCCAAATCAGTTCTTTAAATGTGACTTAAATTGTAAAATGCTACACAGAGGTGTTATTTCAACGGGTACTTTGTTCCATATCTGAGTAGCTCTTGCTTTGAATATTGAAAAGAACCATCGGTTTTTTATACGTTCAACATATATTTTGTCGTATCTACACGATCTTGTGTTTTTCTGATGCACAGATGATGTTAATTTGAATTTTTCTTGGAGATACATAAGTGTTAAATCATTCAAACATTTAAAAGTTAATATTGCTACGTTCTTATAAAGGCGGTCTTGTATTGATATTCTGTCTTCATTAGATGCGAGTTTAGTTGCCTCGTTATAGAGACGTCCAAGTCTCTTTAAACTAGTGTTGCTAGCTGACGACCATGCTTCACAACAGTAATCAAAATGTGGTATCACTATGGCATTGGCAAGCAGATTTCTGGTGGTCCTGCTCAGAAATGGCATGGCTCTTTCAATTTTACCTATTTTCATGCTGATTTTAATGGCCTTGAATTGTAAAGAAAATGGCACTTTTATGGCCGGTTTTTAGCGAGGACTCTTTCGATGCCATTGAGGCAGTTGCATGTCCCTATTTGTGACTGCTTGTCGTAGATATTTTGGTATTTTTTTCAACGAGGAGATAAATTATTGTTTTGAGCAATTCACAGCATTATGTTTTCCCTAAACAATATCGCGATGGACTTGAAAACATAAAACTAAAGACTAGTAGCATGTTTTATTAATTGAATTCTTTTGTAAGATGCTACGAAATGGTCTTCGAAATTAGGCCTGTTGCAGAACAAAAAACGTGCGAACAAGACTTTAAAAAAATTCTTTAATATCAGTCAAGGAAATTCACAGTTTTGGGCACCCAAGTAGAAAGTGAGTATCTTTGAGTACGTCTTACCGAAATCTTACAAGTTGGTGCTTGGAAAACATTTTTTATTGCAATTATTTCACAGGTATTCCTATCATCATAGCTCGCTTTTCGTGTCTTCGCAGCGGTCGGCATGTTTTGAGAATATGAAAGTAAGAAAATACAAGGCGTATCTTCTTGTTTTTCATTTTCATTACTATTCCTTGATGCATTTTCCATCATTTTCAACCTAAACAATAATCTCAAAACATTTATTTAACTTGCTATAGCTATTTGAAATTCGGTTAACTAGAAAAATTTAGCGGCAGTGTTGCCATTTTGTGGCGGATGGTGCAATACTTTTCGAACATAGCTGTAGTATTCCTATAAGCACTGTATAGTTACTGACTGGAAAACTATACCGGTCTTGTGCTTGCGCTTTTCTGATTGGCCTAGTTCGAGCAGATCTATTTCCCATCTTGACGTTTTATACTCGACGTCTTTCGGAACCGCATCCGGACGTTTTATACTCAGAGTGGTATCAGACTGAAAAGCTTTAAGTCAGTATGTTGTAAAATTTTTGCTTTTTTCCAAGCCATTATCTTCAAGAAGTCTGAGAAAAAGGCAAATAAAAGAACAGAGCAAAGTTGAGTGAAACCAAGAAGGGGAATGAAAAAGTTGATGGTGGAACGTAAAGAGAAGCCTGACGGGTGATAAGGACTTTGAAGACAGTTTAAGAAAGTCAAGGGACAGTTTTTTTAGCTCTGTAACCAGCTTCATTCCAAATCAGAAAAAATATGAAGCACTATGATCTCTAAAGAAGCAGCTGGCATTGATAATGTGCAAATTGTCAAATGGTAGTCGAATGTAAGACAATACCTTTGGTTGATCAGTTCCGTTTTAGAGTTGTGCAGGATGTAACTCAAGCCATTTGTAAGAATCTAAAGCGCTTCGCAATCATAGCAAAGCCAGTAACTACTATGCACTCTATTCCAGAAACTATTCTCATTGGTTCTTTTTTGGCTCCGTTAATTTTCTCATGCCTCTAAAGGAGCTAAAAGTATAGGTTCATAATACCAGACCTATGGAAATTATTCTTTAGAGAGATCCAAGCGATACCAAAACCTATAAACCATTTCTAAAAATAACTCCAGTATGAAAGCAAGTGAAATACTTACATGTCACATCAAAATTTCGATTCATATTAATAGTTCTTAACGCTAAAATGAATTATCGCATATTTTAAATGCAGAATATTTTTTAATTCTGCTTTTGTAGAGTTTATTGAAAAAATTTTTTTTTAAAAAGGTAGAAAATTTGAAAACATATATTTGAGATTTATAGTTACAGCTCTCTGTCAAAATGTTTATATGAGTTAAGGCAAAACTCTGAATGGGAACGTTGGGCATGCAGCGTAAGCAAAACGCTTGTTTAAGGTGTTAATGGCCGCTGATTGGTCAAAGAAGGGACCAATCTAAAAGCTTATTGTGCCTTTCCAGCAATTTGAAGCGGCACCTGGATACAAATTTTCGTTTAGCCTTTGGTCATTTGACGGCTCGAACTCTGAGGCGGTGAAGGCAAAGCAGGTCATTTAATGTTTTATGTTGACGTCACTTGCACATTCAGTGATTTTACAAGGGTTTCTCTTTGTAATCCAATTCAATGAAAGCCAGCTTACAGCAAAAGGTCTCGATGCCAAAAACAAGTTAGTTTCATACTCGTTTGACTGAAGCAGACACAATTCGTTTACGCGAAGACACAATTAAAAGTGAGTATGGAAGGTGGATACCATGAACGAATCTGATAGTAATTTACTGCCTGTAAAGACGACAGCTGATTCTTAGCAGACCCGTTTCGTTTAGACAAAAGCCTACAAAGCCAAAAACGACTTGTCTCCAATGTAGGATGGCGAAGTTCTGTGTCGCAAACTAACAAAGATTTCTGGGGAAACTACAGGAAGCGCTTTCACGTACCTTGCTATGCGGTTTCCTCAACACCAGCAGCTTGACATGTCACGCCGGTGTCTTTTCGGCCTCCGAAATCGTCCGCGCGGCTTCCCACTGCAAAAGAATTGCACCGTTATCTAATGAAGCGACTGTCAAATGTAGTTAAATATTCATGCTTTTGAAGCAAATAATAATGAAATCTTACGAAGGCCAGAGCGCTTTCTAGCTTACGAGATAGCATCTATAATTTTGGTCCCAAGGACACCGCTTTTCATAGGCGTTTTCTTAAATCATATAATTAGTGAGAAAAACAGGTCAAATGACTTTGTTTTCTAAAGCATTCTCATTGGATATGGAAAGGCAAATGTAGCTAGCAAGTTCTTTAAGGAAGAAGAACAGGGACTGGAAGCCAGGTGAAGCCGAGGAAACCTTTACAAAGAGAAGCCTATGCAAAGAGGAGAGAACCGGAAGCCCTCGAGAGTACAAAAGCATTTCCCCCTTAAAATCAGATAAAATTGGAACACCTATACAGCAGTGGATACAGGAAGCCTTTGCAAATAGGTGATAACAGGAAGCCCTTGAGGGTGAAAAAATATACCCCTTAAAAATAGATAAAATCGGAGCTTGCATATAGCAAAGGAAACAGGAAGCTTTTACAAAGAATATAGAACCAGGAGCACTTAAGAGTAAGAAAGCTTTTAGCCCTTAAAACACGTTAAAATTGGAACTCCTATAGAGCAGCGGAAACAGGAAGCCTTCAATTAAAAATGGAGGAACCGGAAGAAAACAAGGAAAAAATCGTTAATATTGTTTCTGATACCCCCATGTCCATGATTGGGATATGCTTGCACCAAGGGTAACAAACGCATCAAGCATTTATCAAGAAAAGTTTGCAAAATTCTTCCTTTCAACAAAAAACACTCAAAAGTCTTGTTTGTTTTTATCACTCATATGAATGAACGCAAATTAACTGGACTCAACTGAATTGGTCTCAGCAGAACTTAACTCAACTGAATTAAACTCATCTTAGCTGAGCTCAACTAAACAGAACTCACCTGGACTGAACTCGTCTGAGCTGAGCTCAACTAAACAGAACTCACCTGGACTGAACTCAACTTAACTGAACTCAACTAAACTGAACTCACCTGGACTGAACTCAACTCAACTGAACTCAACTGAATTGAACACACCTGGACTGAACTACCTGAATTGAACTCACCTGCACTGAACTCACCTGAACTGAACTCACCTGCACTGAACTCAACTTAACTGAACTCAACTGAATTGAACTTACCTGGACTGAACTCACCTGGACTGAACTCACCTGCACTGAACTCACCTGCACTGAACTCAACCTAACTGAACTCAACTAAACAGAACTCACCTGGACTGAACTCGTCTGAGCTGAGCTCAACTAAACAGAACTCACCTGGACTGAACTCAACTTAACTGAACTCAACTAAACTGAACTCACCTGGACTGAACTCAACTCAACTGAACTCAACTGAATTGAACACACCTGGACTGAACTACCTGAATTGAACTCACCTGCACTGAACTCACCTGAACTGAACTCACCTGCACTGAACTCAACTTAACTGAACTCAACTGAATTGAACTTACCTGGACTGAACTCACCTGGACTGAACTCACCTGCACTGAACTCACCTGCACTGAACTCAACCTAACTGAACTCAACTAAACAGAACTCACCTGGACTGAACTCGTCTGAGCTGAGCTCAACTAAACAGAACTCACCTGGACTGAACTCAACTTAACTGAACTCAACTAAACTGAACTCAACTAAACTGAACTCACCTGGACTGAACTCAACTCAACTGAATTGAACACACCTGGACTGAATTACCTGAATTGAACTCACCTGGACTGAACTCACCTGAACTGAACTCACCTGCACTGAACTCAACTTAACTGAACTCAACTGAATTGAACTCACCTGGACTGAACTACCTGAATTGAACTTACCTGGACTGAACTCACCTGCACTGAACTCAACTTAACTGAACTCAACTGAATTGAACTCACCTGGACTAAACTACCTGAATTGAACTCACCTGGACTGAACTCACCTGCACTGAACTCAACTTAACTGAACTCAACTGAATTGAACTCACCTGGACTAAACTACCTGAATTGAACTCACCTGGACTGAACTCACCTGCACTGAACTCACCTGCACTGAACTCAACTTAACTGAACTCAACTGAATTGAACTCACCTGGACTGAACTACCTGAATTGAACTCACCTGGACTGAACTCACCTGCACTGAACGCACCTGCACTGAACTCAACTTAACTGAACTCAACTGAATTGAACTCACCTGGACTAAACTACCTGAATTGAACTCACCTGGACTGAACTCACCTGCACTGAACTCAACTTAACTGAACTCAACTGAATTGAACTCGTCTGAGCCGAGCTCAACTAAACAGAACTCAACTGCATTGAACTACCTGAACTGAACTCACCTGCACTGAACTCACCTGCACTGAACTCACCTGCACTGAACTCAACTTAACTGAACTCAACTGAATTGAACTCACCTGGACTGAACTACCTGAATTGAACTCACCTGGACTGAACTCACCTGCACTGAACTCACCTGCACTGAACTCAACTTAACTGAACTCAACTGAATTGAACTCACCTGGACTAAACCACCTGAATTGAACTCACCTAGACTGAACTCACCTGCACTGAACTCAACTTAACTGAACTCAACTGAATTGAACTCGTCTGAGCCGAGCTCAACTAAACAGAACTCAACTGCATTGAACTACCTGAACTGAACTCACCTGGACGGAACTTAACTAAACTGAACACACCTGGACTGAACTCAAGTTAGCTGAACTCAACTTAACGAAACCTAAATGGAATTTCAATCGACTCAGGATACTGAACTCGACAAATCATGACATCCTTTGTAGTTTTCAAAAGTGCTGCAACATAACCTTATAGAGATTGATGCAAATTCTCACAAGAAAGATGTCGACTAAAAGCAAAGTTAATCCTTTTTTGTTAAAAACTTGTTTCTTTGCGGCGTCTACCAATCAAAGTTTCAAAACGTTTTGAAGCAGTTTCTATTATAAAAATGAAGGAAATTATTTTTACTGTTTGATAACTAGCTATGTGAATCTTTATGCCTATATATTACCGTCTTTTCAGAAAAGCAGCATAACGAAAGTAGAAACAACGATTTAGAATGGAACGAATTCTATTTATCCAGAAACATTTTAAAACGATGTTGCTATCGAAATATTATTTCTTCTTATTACAAGGTTAGTTTTGATGTATCTTTGTCGTCTTTTTACGTTGCCTCTATTCACAATCTATGTGACAAAATGTACGTTCGCTTTTCTTGCTATAGGGCTATGTCCATGGGGGCATCAAATATCACCATAAATACATCGGAGGTGAAACTAGGATCATGCGAATCAGTTTAAGCTACTCCTACTAAGGGCCTGGCAGGAGCAAATCAAGCAGGATTACGGCCAATCTTTTAGATTATAACATTATATTTAGCAAATGCACCTTGATATTTGTGCGGCAGAATAAAGGATGAAAAGAAAGCCTTCTTAATGTCGCTAGCCTTTTCAACATTGATTTGATTTGGGAGGTCAGACATGTCGAGAAGGTGGGCAGGGTAAGTAGAATTCTCTAGGAATGTGAAGACCCTGAAAACGGTGTGATTATAATATTAGTGGTATTAAATTCAAAGTATGGTCTAAGCGAAATTTTCATAATAATTATTACACATAGGGTGCTATGAAAGTTTTGGTTATACCCTCGGGGAACATCAGAGGAATGGTGCAGGGTAGTGTAGATTGCACAAATAGTTGTACCTTTAGTGACTACAGAAAGGGAAAAGAAAAGAAAGAGCAAATTAAAGAAGATAAAAATAACAGCTTTGATACGTTTTTGTGAAAAATAATTGCCAAGATAGAATTTTGCCATTAACACATGCATATTTATCATCTTACAAACTCAATGCCGCCCCTTCCCTTCCCCCTCTCCCTCCCCCTCTCCCTCTCTCCCTCTCTTCCTTTCTCCCATCTCTTCCCAACCCTTCCCTTCCCCTCTCCTCCAAAAGTAGGCACCTAATATAAGTCGTGACAAATATTTGTGACAGTTTATCATAAAAACTTTCAAGTATTCGGTCAAACCTCATTTAAAACAATTCGATTGGCAATCCCATGTTTTTAAAAATACTGGTGTCAAATCTCCAGCCATCTGCCTTGCTTCCATCGGCATACAAAAGAAACAGCTCTGCTTAAAAACACACATATAACCCGATATCTCGTCATTACCGACCTCAAAGCTTGTTTCGTTGGTAACCTCATTTGACATAATGTCCAGCTCCTTTAAGCAACTTTTCTCGAAAATTTCTGTCGTACAGTTGAACTTTGAAAAGACGAGGCGCAAGCCTAAACTTTGAGAAAGCAGTTGATCAATAGATACGCTCAAATTCTCTCAGTTTCATTTTGTTTTGTTCAGTAATTCGGTCTCTATCCTTTTAGACAATAATTCTTGCTGAGGAGAAATCAGTTGGTCCTTCTAATCTCAGCCAATTATTCTTAAGTGCTAGTCATATAAAAGTAAGAACTTTGCAATAAAGTTGGACATCAATGACTTCAGGCCTTTCCAAATGCGTCACTCACCGACTGAGAAAAGCAAAATTGACTTCAGGTTAAGACTTCTTAAAATTCATTTACGACGGCTAAAGCTGTTAATGACCTGGAAAGACGGCAAAGAATGGCGGAAGGCCTTTTTTCTGAAATCATCAAACAGGGTACAATGACGTAGGACAACGGCAATCCTGCATTGTACCTGGCCTCTCTCACCAAAGAGAAAATCGCCAAATCTTTCCTGATCAAAATTTATATGATGGTCAACTTGACGTAAAACGTGGATCATCAAATCAGATTGACCGCTCTAAATACTATCACGAAATAGGAGGGGTGCCCCATATGTATCGTCT